GTTCTTATTTTGTTGCTTTATTTCTTGAATACTCTGATTTATTTTATTTCGAGTTTCTTGGTATGTATTTGGTTCTCTTAGTTTATCAATATATATTTGTGGTCTAGATCTTTTCATTAATGGTTTTCTCAATATTACATTCATATTTACATGGACCAGTACAGTGGAAATAAGTTGTTTTGCAAGGACATTGTGGTTTTTAATATGCTGTTATCATTGGAAAAATTTTTGCATCAATCAGACAGAATAAACCACTTTGGATGAAACAGAACAATGCATTGGCACATCTAACTCAACATTGATTTTTGTGTGACTTTAGACTGTTTGCATGTTACCTTCTTATTTTAATCTGTGATTAATAATGTGAAGTTATTTCCTCAATTATGATAAAAAATGTATGCAAATAAAAATTTACTCTACTCTAAAAAAAAACCTGCAATATACAATAAGCTATTGGCTGCTGTACGACTGATTACGATTTTTCGATGGTCCTATATTAGAAATATTTACTGTTTACTGCAAAAGAATTTCAAGTAATTATATTCCTCAAAAAAGCATACTGAACTTTATATATTTAACTTCGAATACAATTTATTTTTATTATAACTGTAAATTTGTCCCTCACTGAATGAAAATTATGTCGTTTTTTGCTCGTAACGTTAGAAGAAATACTCATAAAAGAACATTTTTTAATAAGCTATAAATAAATTCTTCTATTAGATAGAAATGTACGTGTACTAATAATTAAAAATAATTTTTTAATTACCCCATTACACTTTTTTCATAGAGCAGTGTACTTTGACAGTTTTTACAAAAAATCTTATCCTGCATAGATTACTTATTGCGACACTAATTTATAATTGTTTTTCAATAAACACTTCACCAACCATCATATTTCTACAAAAATAACACTCCCCTGTTACTAACGAGATACCTTGACCTTCAAATTCATATTTATCACAGTAAAAAACAAAAACAAAAGATATGAACTAAATATAACCTAATTACAAATTAGTTTTTAAATTCCCATGGTACTGGTTTTTAATGTTCAATGTTTTTAATGTTGACTAATAATTAAGAAACTACTGTTATAATTTTATGAAACAATGACCTTGTGAGGTCTCATCTTTTATTAGATATACCTTTAAATTAAATTACCTCAAATTAAAATATAAATTCTTTATTTGACATTTCGCTTTTAAGATAAGAAGCCATTTTCAACATAAAAATAAAACTTCTTCTATAATGTTTGGTTTCTTCTTCTTCTCCTTCTTATTTTTCTTAATTCGGGCAAGACGTGTTTATATCTGGCACTTGGTCATAAGACCTTTGTACCATACCCTGTTTTTTGCATTAAACTTCAATAAGTCCTGTGGCCTCAACGAAGACCAACAATTTCGTAATTTGTAGTTTTCGAATCTCTTCTGGTTGCATCCTCAGTTGACCAATGAATTCCTGCCTCATATCATTTAGCACATTGCAATGAATAGGATAGGATATATATGGCAGTCTCTTCTCCAATTTTACATTTTCTGCACCATGGATCATTCACCTTAACTATTTTGTATAGGTGTTTTCTTAAACAACAATGTCCAGTCACCATTACAGTGACTGATTTTTAATCAGAGTTTTAATATTTCATTTATTGGGGTTCATCAAATTGTCTGAGAGTTTTATATCAATATTCTTGATTATTTTCTTAGTCTGGATTTGCCTCATATCACTTAGAATATTGCAATGGTATAGAATGTATATGGAAGTATCTTCTTCCACTTCGCGTTTTCTGCATAATTGATCATGCACCTTCACTATTTTGTATAGGTGTTTTCTTAAATGACAATGTCCAGTCACCATTTCGGTGACAGTTTTAATATCTCGTTTTTGTGGTTCATCAAATTGTCCAAGAGTTTTATATCAATATTCTTGATTATGTTCTTAGTCTGGATTTGCGTTTGAGTGCTTTCCATTTCTTTTGATGATTCCTTATTAGCCACTTCTAAACCTCATTTCTTGAAGTATATTTAGCGATACCACACAATGGTTCTGACCTACTAAAGTTTCTCTTAACAAATTATTTCTTTGCAAACAAATATGCTCATTCATTAGCCTAACCACTATTAAAATATCATCTGCGAAACCCTAAACTCAGATTCCTTGGCCACTAAGACCATGAATCAGATCATCAATGACTATATTCCATGTTGTTAAATGGCACCGTTGAGGGCACTTGAGGGCACCGTTTAGTTGCACTCAGATTTATAGCATCTTTATACATAACTGTGGCTCTGAATCATCTGAATAATCCACTTGCATGTTGTGTTGTTGATTTTCTTCCTCATCAGTGCACTATGTATTGACTCGATAGAGATATGATATGCACCTTCAATGTCTAAAAATGCAGCAAGGGCAAGTTCTTTCTGGTGTAAATCCTTATTGAGTTCCGGTACCAGATTGTGCAGAGAGGCTTTAAGTACTTGATTTCCCTGTTTGATACACCCATTGTCGCTGGTGCAGTGGGTTGTTTTTCTGGATGTATTCATTGTAGATTTTTTCCATAGTTTTAACATGAATGAAGTAAGAGTTATTGACCAATATCAAACACAAAAATAAAAGAAAAAATGTAATAGAAAAAAACAAAGAGAAAAATAATGAAACACATATGAACTTTATCAACTTAGAAAGATTCCCTCTCATTCTCTTTACACAGTCATATTATCAGAGTTGTTTCTCACATGAAGTCACATAAATCCCTTTAGTTTTTACCAACTTTCACTTTGTGCTTCCTATACTTACATCTTGAAAATTTCTTTTAGATTTTTTCTTTATTATAATGGTAGTCTCACCACTTTATGTTATTGTATGTTACTAATAGTGCATTTTATATTTAGTATGTTTTAGTAGTTTGACTTCTATGTTCCATGTCTGGTATTTTATTTGTAATGCACATTTGTTGTTATAGCAGTTCTATACTAAAAAAATATGGTGATTGTAGGTAATCACAAGTGTTAATTTCATGTTTCTACAGTTCTTCTCTGAGGGCATCAAGATTGGTTCAAGAGTTATTTTGGAAAAGGATGGGGAGAATTTTTAACCCAGCTTCAAACCTTTATTTATTGGAAAACAATGTCAGATCTTGCTCTCTATTTTAATATAATCTAAGCTTGTTCTTACAGGCTTCTTAAACTACTTAGTTTTTTTTAGAGAGGTTACCAAAGTTTTGTCTGTAGAGTGGTTGTATATACTCATACTATTGTCTATTCGCTTAGCTAGGGCATATTTTGACAGACTCATTGTAGGAAACCTACAACACAACAATTCCTACTTCTCAGTATTAATAGCTCAAGTATACTACTATTGCAGAAATCTTTCTTTGAAAAAAAGAAGAATTATTCTAAATAGTGGAAGTGTATACTAAACCCATCAAATTTTCCCTGTATATTTAAAATATAATATTTGAATTGTTACAATTTAAAATATTGTAGTAAATATTTGTATTATTAGCGTTGTTTATTTAATTTAATATTGTTTTATTATCTTTGTTTAATTCTTTTGTTAGTTCTATTCAGTTAATTAGTTAGTTATATTTTAAATTTTATTATTATGGATAGTCAAAGTTTTCCATTTGTTCCATCAGCTAAAGCATTGGTAAGTTTTTTTTAATAAATATGATAAAATGTTTTTTTAAAAGTTTTTTTTTAAAGTTAATATTATTAGATTAGTAAGGATGCTGTTCCTAGATTACAAGGTAATAAAACTGCACAAAGGTTTATTCAAAATGCCTACCATTTTTTTTTACCGAATGAAAACCCTGTTGAGGTAAGTTGATCATTAAAATGTATTTATCGAATTATGTAAATGTTGTAAATACATAAGGAACTTGCTGTGTCTTATTCTTATTTAACCTCACTTTGACTTCTTAATTTTGTAGAATTTATTCCCACTTTTTTATTTTGTACAATAAATAATTTTATTATTTGTTATCAATACATTATACAGTGTAAATAAATAAATATTGATTGTCTGCAAAGTTTTATTTTATTTACTTTTGTTTACATTAATATTGACCAGTGATATACATATCTCTGATATTGACTAAGAGCACGTATGCTTAGTTGTATAGTATTTTCCAGCCACTTCGAGTCTGTCAAAAAGTTACTAACTTCGAAAAAAAATAATTACTAAAATCACTAGACAGTTCGGACTGGGAATAGCGAACCGGGTATACCTTATGTACAGTGCATAGTCTACAGGGACTAGTGGGGAATGTCATATATATTCACATTATTATAGTAAGTGTCTTAGAGAGAAAGTACTGAAAATAATGAAATGCAAAATTGTATGTTCGAAATTCTGCATTGAGTACTTAACATTATTACTACTGAAACTGTTAGACGATTTCAATTGTAAATGCAATGTAATTGGTAAACTGACGGTATAAGCTTATCCTATCAAGTTAAGATGTATTGGTCAATTAATATTGGAGTGAATTTAGGTAGGTATTAATATATCAACAACACTGAGTTACATAGTCAAAATTAAAGAAGATAGAAGACATATATACCATACATTACCTCCAACTAAGTTTGAATGTAAGCATGATTTATAAAACAAAAAATAAAGCGAGATTTGTGAAAATGAGAATATTTTTAGCATTTGACATGGATTCAAGGTTTAACAAGAGAATATTTATGAAAAACATATTCTGGAATATAAATGAATTTACACATTTGAATACTGAATCAAATACAATAGAGGTGCATGATGATATCAAAAGATGCTCCTACTTTTCATGGAACAAAATAATTTAGTAAATAAAAATTTTAAAAATAATGTTACAGTATTAACATTAGCAATTTTCTTAATTTTGTTTTTAGTTGGGTATATATATATATATATATATATATATATATATATATATATATATATATATTTAATTGTCCTATTAAACATACTAATATTATATAACTTGATTATGATAAAAAAATATATAAAATCCTTACCTTTTGCTGCTGCTAAACTATATAACCTAACATTTTTTGCTGCTTGTCCATATTTGAAAGAATTATTCCCAAAAACCTTAGAAGCAACAATACGACTCAAAGTGGCGGCACTCATTTTTTTGTAGTATTATTGAATCCAATACAGACTACAGACAAAAATAAAATGAAAATGGACTTTGGAAACCGGTTAATACAATCCAATTCAAATCAAATGTGTATAAATTCTTGTATTATAAATTAAGTAAATATGATAACGAAGTAGAGATTGGTGTATTGAAAACAGAAATAACAGTTCCTTTTTTCTTTAAAACGCTTTGGCCAAAAACGTTTTTGACCATCTTTATGATTAACTTTTGTAGCAGATAGGAGTGAGTAGGTAATTATTTGAGTAAGATGAAATAATATTTTCATTGCTTTTCTTATATTATTTCATTCTCATTATAGTAATAACATGCTAATTATTTTATGGCTGTTTTATCTTCCGTTCAATTTTACCTTTTAATTTCATTTTGCCTTTTAATTGTCGAGAGTCAATATATATAGGTTTAATTTCTACATAATTATTCCCAAAAAAGTCCGGAACAATTCCATTATTTTAAATTAGGTATTCATGAATATTTATTTAAGACTTCATGATTACCTAAGTGAATGGAATTAAATTTTCCCGGGGGTTATCACGGGGCGAGAAATTTAAAAAATTGTATATTCCGAAAACAACAACGCTCAAAAATAGTTGTTTTTACCAATATATAGGTTGATATTGTATTACATCATGTGAAATGGAAATAAAGCAAAAATTGTTCAATATAACTTTTATGAAACTACTTAATGTCTAAAACTATACCTTCCTAATTCGTATATCATAGGTACAGTGTGTAAAAGTCAAATGGAATAAATTCATTATTTAGGTTACTGTAGGTACCATGGACGTATAAACATAGATGGACACAGCAATAAGATACCTTCACGGGTGGGCGACTCTTATGAGAGTGACATTTCTTTGCTTTTTACTACGACCCAGGATACGAGGTGGCGCACGCAGACAAGTGTTGTTTATTTAGACAACTTATGATACACAATATTAATAAGTTGGTTGCCAATCAAGAAATATACAAATCCAAATACACGCAACCCAAACAACACGCCTGACACGGGACACCCGACACCCATTTTATTAGGTTATTTATGTGGTATACATGTGGTATATTAATTATGTTATGATTGAGATCGCTAGTAGTTTATGTGTTACCAGGTGTTACTACTCATTTTACAAGTTGGTGATATATAATAAAGTGAATATAAACAATAAAACTAGAAATAATGGTTTCAAAGTGCTGCGTTTTAGGTTGTAGAAACACTAGCCAAAAGGCCCAGCTGCATACGTTTCCAAAAGACGAGAAGGTAAGTTAAATTTTTATTATTTATTATTTTTCTACCAATAAAGACCAATATATAGTTTTAGTTCTCAGAGTGTAGGACTTCTAAAAATATATCTTATTCAAGGGGTATTATTGTAAAGTGAATGGTACCTTTTTATGACTTTACTGTATGCATGTATATGCACTGTCTATATTTTTGTTCTTTTTTTTCTAGATTTGGTCAATGTGGATAAAGAATATTGGTCGAGAAGATTTGAAAAACAAAACCATAGATCATTTAAGAAGATCTTATCGCATATGTAACATACATTTTGATGATAATCAAAAATATATTGGAAGTCGATACAAATCTACCATTAAGCAAGATGCAGTGCCTACTTTGTTTCTTCCAATTATTAAAAATGGTAAGTACTAAGAAAATTTAATTAATTAGTCAGTATAAATTATTTTTTGTTTAGTTAAAGAATCTGAAGTTATGCCAGCTGTAGAATCTGAAGTTATGCCAGCTGTAGAAGTACCCAGTACATCAAAATTTAATGAAAGTGGAATTCCCCAATCTCCTGTTCGTGATGTTACTGCACCTAAAACATTTTCAACTCCAGCTAAGCAAAAAGGTAATTTTTATAAAAGAATCTTATGTACTACTGTTATTTTATTCCTTTCTTTTCCTTACAGTGGGATTATTGATGTTCTCTTCCCATTAATAACTAAAATTCAGGGTTTTCTTTAAGCTTGTTTTGTCCCTGATATGTTGAAAGAATGTATATAATAATCAATTTTCTTTTTTTATAGGTTTAAGAAGTAAATTAAGACTTTTGGCCTACAGTGGAACAGAATCAGTTGCTAAACTAACACCTAAGGCGAAAAAATTTTACAGAATTGCAAAAGATCTTCGTAAAACTGCTAAACGACTGGATTTTAAATGTTTGAATTTGAAAAAGGAATTAAGAAGAGTTGAAAAAGTTATGGAATCAGGTGATTTTTTGGCCCAAAGCATCAATAAAGCTACTTATGATTTTATAAAATGCCAATTAAGGTGCCAAAAATTTCAACCGAAGGGTAGGCGTTATAGCCTTGATGAAAAAATTTTATTTTTGTCATTTTTAAAACAGAGTCCTAAAGGATACAAACTATTTCGTAAAATATTTGCTGCTCCTTCAAGGAAAACTTTGACTAACCTTTTACAAAATATTCCCTTTGCAACTGGAATCAATGAAACCATTATGGCTAGCTTGAAAAATAGTACAAAGGGAATGTCTGTAAAAGAGAAGTATTGTAGCATCCTTTTTGATGAAATATCTATTGATCCTGGATTGCAATACAACAAAAAAGAAGGTGCTATTTACGGATTTGAAGATTATGGGGATTATGAATATAATAGGCCAATTATTGCTGATAAAGCCTTGGTATTCATGGCCAGAGGAATTTTTAAAAAGTGGAAGCAACCAATTGCTTATTATATTAGTGAAAGTGGCATGAAAGGTCACCTATTATGTTTAAAAATAAAAGAAGTCATCAGGGCATGCAGAAATAGTGATCTTTTGCCAATTACAATTATTTGCGACCAATATAGTGCCAATAAAAAGGCTATTAAATTATTATATGAAGAAAACTGCAAGCAACCACATCAATTCGGTTTTTTAATAGATGGTGTAGAAGTTATTCCCTTATATGACCCTCCCCACCTGTTAAAAGGTATTAGAAACAATTTTTTTAATAAAAGTGTAAAATTTAAGTGGAGAAAAAATATTGAAGTGGCGACTTGGGCACACATTAATCAATTATATGATTTAGAAGATAAAGATTATGACTATAAATTATGTCCAAAACTAACAGAAAGTCATGTTAAAAATCTTAAAAAAATGAAAGTGTCCATAGCAGCACAGACATTAAGCAATACTGTAGCCGCAGCTATGAAAAAGTTGGCCTCTTCTCAACTAAATTGTCTTCCAGCCGAAGCAGAAAGTACAGCTGAATTTATTTTATTTATGGACAAGGTCTTTGATAGTGTGAATGGTGCTGGCACCTTTAATAAAAATGGAAAAAGATTAAGAATGGCTGTAACAAAAAAAAGCGAACATTATACTTTTTGGACTGAGGCCATTCAAGTTTTTGAATCAATAAAATTTGAAGAAAGGGGGGAAACAGACAGTACCACCAAGTGTACTAAATTGGATTCACACTCTAAGAGGTATGAGATACCTTTGGGAATTATTTCAGAAAAAAAATATAAAATATTTTTGTCCCAATTTTTTAAATCAAGATCCCCTTGAAAACTTTTTTGGGCGCATTAGGAGTCATGGAGCAAGGTATATAAACCCAAATGCAACAGCATTTATTCATTCATTTAAATCTTTAATTATTATGGATTTCACATCTGTGCACTCACCTGGATTTAATTGTAAAGATGACAATTTAAATGCTTTGGATTCATTAAAACATTTCATAAATTGTGAACCAATTTCAAAAAATGAACCAATTAAGATCCCTGATATACAATTTAGTGAATTTACACCAAATAACCAAATAGATATTTTACAAAAAGGATGTCTTAAATATATAGCAGGGTTTGTGGCAAAAAAAATTTTACGTAAATTTAAAAGTTGTGGATGTTGTATGACAGATTTATTGGGCGATGGTAGTAATGCTGAAGATTTTTTTATCAACGCAAAATCTTATAGTATAAAAAGTTTAATGGCCCCAAACAGTAAATATGGTGAACTTTTTGAAAAGATTATATTCATATTACAGCCAATAGTTCCAAAAGTTTGCCACTACAAAAATTTAAAAAAAATACTTTTCGGAATAATGTATAATGAATGCAAATCATTTACTTTTATATGTGAAAAACATCAAATTTTAAAACACATATTAAATTATGTTATTTCATTTCATTTGCTGATTTATGCAAAAAATATCACCAAAATTTTACAGGGAAAATTAAAAGTAAAATCTGGGTGTAATGACCCAATTAAAAATTATGCACAAAAAAAATTTTACAGTCATAAAAAGTATGTTAATACATTAAAAATAATAAATAATTGCCTTCCTTTAAAAATAATATAGAGAGAGAAATATAGGTACTTTATTGATACCATGGAACCAAAAATTGACTGAAGTCTTTCAGCGAATTTACAAGATTAATATATACATTAAATATTTTATGTTAAGACTAAATACAATACAATAGTTAAAAAAAATTGTATATGTGGTGGTAATTACAATATTGCCAGTCAATTAAATTACAGCTAATAGAAGAAGATTAGAAGGGAGTTGTTTATTGATCTGAAGTGACAAGTACGTTTGTGATGTTATTTATAATATTTTTAGAACATAATAATATGCCTGGAGTTTCATATATTTCCTTCCTGTTGGATTATACACCCGTCACAATATGGGTTAATAAAATTTTTAGTTTTGCTTTCCTCACATATAAAACTATCGATATTATTACCTTGTAGATAGTTGTATATTAAGTATTTCTCTGTTTGAAAACTATTGATATTTGAATAAATAAACCTCACGTTATGAGCCACTATCTTGAAATATTGTGAGCCCTTCCTGTGGCATAGTTGGTGAGTGATTGGTTGGTTTTTCCAGATCGAACATGAGTATAAATAGGTAAATTTCCCAGTTTTTCACGATGTAATTTTTTGCAGTATCTGTGTTTTATTTCGATATTTGTGAGATGGTCTTTCATAATATGTGTATCTTCAATATCCAATTCTACTGATGATATGATACAGGCAAAAGTTGTGTCATGTGATTTATTTTGTGTGGATTGATTTTGGTTAGAATTTGTTTCTTTGTATTCTTTGGTTACTTTTGACTGGACTAATGACTTCGGTT